GGGGATGGGATCAAGTGCTAAAATATGAGAGCGAGTGGTGCCATACAAGTGTCCATCAAGGCCCATCAAAAATTGATGAACTTTCTTTTCATCACGTTTTCTTATCCCAGAGGGCTTGAAGAGCACATACACACTTTCCACAGTTGCAGAGAAAAGGTTTATCATAGTCTGATAGTTCTACCCAAATTTTCACCAATCGACCATAATAATTCTCAATCGTGCTGCCTTGTTGTTTGCAAGTAGATAAAGCAATTTTCAATTCTTGAATCGTAGGGCCATTTACGGTAGTATAACGCTCCTTAAGTCCCAACCATAGATCGCGAGCAGACTCAGGTGTAGTGATAGAAGATCGTACCTGTGGGTCAATACTATTCATGATCCAAGAAAGAAGAAGAGAGTTGTTCGCCAGCCAGTCGTCAAAAAGATCATCATCAGAATCAGGACGAGGGATAGATCCGTCAAGGAATCCAAATTTCTTCCATGCACGCAACGCATTGCGAAAGCTTCGACACCATTCATCATAATTTGTATCACCCTTCAATTGAACATGGGTGATGAGAAGACCCGGGTTATCCGAAGAAGAATGATCGTATGGAGAGATGGTTTTTCGTGCCACGGTCTTGCCACTGGACTCTGCCATTTAACTGAAACGAAGAAGGATACCGCTGCTGAAAGTGCTGCCGGGAGAGGGTGAGGAAAGAGCCGCCACCGGGAGAAAGAAAAAAAAAATAATCTGTTGCCGAGAAAGAAAAAATAAATCTGTCTGAGAGGAGAAAAAAAAAAATTTAACCGGCTCTTGGTACCATGTTAAGTTCGTGAAATATTGAAAAGATATGGGAAGATGGCACACCCCATTGTGGTGTCCTCATATTATTATATCACCTATATATACACAACAATACCTAGATTACTTACAAGGAATTACTTGCCAAGCAAGTCACCTACTACTAGGAAAATATACTAACAAATATACAACCCTAAATATACCAATATGCTAACACCCTCCTTGTACTAAATCTTAGCCTTGACGTTGTCGACGGTGTCCGAGCTCTCCACCTCCAGCGCGATGGTCTTGCCGGTTAGTCTTTTCTTTTCAATTTCGGACTTTTTTGAATTTGGGGGGAAAATTGGAAGAAGGGGGAGGATGAATTGACAGAGGGCTTTTGATGTTGGAGTTAATTTCACTTGTCCCCCCTGAAGTTCTATGAAATATCATTCTCGCCCAAATTTTACACTCAGTCTAATTAAGGGTGTTATTTGAGCTGGGTCGAGTACTTTGTGTTCGAGTTCATGCTAGTTTATTAAAGGAGTTAAGCCTCAAAACAAGTCAAATTCAGTTGGAGCTCATGAAAGGTTGGGTCGGCTCAGTTTGAATTGTTTAACAAATCCAAAATAGTGAATGAATTGTTTCTAGATATGATTTGTGCGTCCGCAAATATGCTCGACTCGATTATACTGTCGAAGTATATAAATAAAATAGAAAGATGAATTGGCTATTTAGGTAAAAAAAAAGTTTGGCTCTATTCGTTTAATAAACTATATCTCGATCAACTGTCCAGCTCTGCTTGGTTAAGAGCAAACTAATCGAGCTCGAGATTTCACGGGTTGAACTAGAATGTGGTCGAGGACAACTTGATTCGAATAACAACTTTATACATGTCATGACAAGCCAAACTCGAACCTAAATGAAATGAGTTGATATAAAAATTCAAAAAAATAAAATAAAAATACGCACGTAAAAACTCATATTCTCAAGCTTTAACAAGTCACCGAACTGTCTTCAGTTCACTCCTTCCTTTTAACAACTTTCTCAGTAATGACCTGTCAAAATGTTATATCCCAATTTTTTTGGGGCTAAATTGCAATTAAACCTCAGTTATTTTCTTCCATCACTATTATCGTGTTGTTTTATTGTTTTTACATCTGTTCAAGAACAAAACCCCCCTTTTTGTTGGTTTAAAACTGTAACCAAATTTTGAAAATCGCAGTACAAAATCGGAGGCGCAAGATGAGTGTGATCGATCTACTGACTCGCGTGGACGCGATCTGCAGGAAGTACGACAAATACGACATCGCGCTCAAGGACTCCAATTTCTCCGGCGACGACGCATTCGCGCGCCTCTACACCTCCGTCGAGTCCGATATCGAATCCCTCCTTCAGGTTTAATTTCTCAGGTTTTTAGAGATTTTATGTGTTTTTGTCATTTTTCCGGTGCGACTGTATTTTGAAATTGAATTTTTCGTTTCCTCGTTTGGTAGAAAGCGGAGACGGCTTCGAATGAGAAGAATAGGGCGTCTGCTGTAGCGATCAATGCTGAGATTCGGAGGACCAAGGCGAAATTGCTTGATGAGGTGCCCAAATTGCAGAGACTAGCCGTTAAGAAGGTTTAACCTAATTCTTTGTGATTTGTTTCCTGCATTGTGGTTTTTTGGTTCAATTTTTATCATGAATGGCCCAGATATACCCCTTGAAATTACTTGTGGATATTAGTTTTAGTGGTTTTTGGCTATAGAGTCTAGAGTCGATTTAGGAAAAATCGTTTTCGAATAAGATCTTTGAAATGTAGGTTTGGCCCGGTGGCTTCGTAAAAGTCGGTTCTTTTTATGATTAGAGACAAATTTTAAAATCCCAATCTCAATTAAACCAGTTGGTTTTGGTTGAAAAATTTCAAAATTCCAATCTCAATAAAACCAGTTGGTTTTGGTTAACCAGTTCTACACTGTGCTGTGGATGAAATGAAGATTGACTTAATCTGTTAGATTAGTTTTGCTCTACTTTGTTGGTTTATTACATCGGATTATCCCATATATTTCCTTGATGAACGAGCCTTTGTAGTTTGTATGGCATTGGAGAGTGTGTTTACCTATTGACTATATTACTGATGTAGGTTAAAGGACTTTCCACAGAAGAACTTGCTGCCCGTAATGATCTGGTCCTTGCATTGCCCGACAGGATTCAGGCCATACCTGATGACTCTGCAGCTGCTCCTAAATCATCTTCTGGTTGGGGAACTTCAGCTGCTCGGTCAGAGATTAAATTTGATTCAGGTGTGTTAGATTCATAACCGTATAGTTTTCAAAACGGCCTCTGTTTTGGTCATACATTCTTTATGTTTGTGCTTTTACTACACTTGGGTTGGGATGAGTGAGTCTGTCTATTCTTTTGTCATAGTCAATAACATGAGCATGTGCATTTTATTTTAGATGGGCGGTTTGATGATGAATACTTTCAGCAAACTGAGGAGTCAGGCAAATTTAGGCAAGAGTATGAAATGCGGAAGATAAAACAGGTACATGCTGTTTTTTTTCCCTGTAGAACTTTATATTCTAGATTATCATCATCATCATCATACCCAGTATATTCCCAAACGGGTTGGGGTCTGGGGGGTCAGTTGTACGCAGACCTTACCCTTGTAATTATACAAGGAGGCTGTTTCCATAGCGACCCAAGATGCATTGCGTGGTTTGATATACTTTTTCTAGAAACTTCACTAATAGAAGAAGCACTAGAATTTGAATTGAGCCATTTTGATCTAGTCCATTATTAGCACTATGCCAGGAGAATTGTCAACAATGACTCTTCCAGCTCCATGTGCAATGGACATATTTATATTCTAGATTATCTGAGTTATTTTTTCAATTGGTTGTATGATATATCTTCCTGATCATGCTGGACCAAGGATTGGATGTCATAGCAGAAGGTTTGGATACTTTGAAGAACATGGCTCATGACATGAATGAGGTTATTTTCCCTATTCATTTTTTTTTCTGTTTCTGTTTGTGATTTTTTTCCCTGTTATTCCGCAATAATCTCGATTGAGATTTTCTAATGCCTATTCATGCAGGAATTGCACAGGCAAGTTCCTCTAATGGATGGGATTGATGAGAAGGTTAGACCTTAAGATTCCAAAAAAATAAATAAATAAATTATATAATAAATAAAATAAAAAACCCTCTTCTTTCATTTCCCTCCAATGTATGATTCATTGCCTTGTAACTTTCTGTCTCTCTCATCGTGTCTCTGTTTATGTATTTCTTCTCCTTCTAATTAATTTTAACCATTTTTGTGATCTCAACAATGAAGGCCATGGTGTTTTAGACAAACATAATAATGTTTGAGTTCTGGATGTGGATTTGCTGCAGTACAGCAACATTTGTAGTGGACTCAAGATGAATACTTAGGCTGTACCTCAATCTTAGTTCAGCTTATTTGCTGACTTTTATATGTACTTCAATTTTGTGAGCCATAACTCTAAGCAATTATTTTGATTATTTGTAGGTGGACAAGGCAACTTCTGATCTTAAAAATACCAATGTTAGATTGAAGGTCGACACAGTTAATCAGGTTCCTTGATGTTGTTCTTCGGTCATGATATGTTCTGCTTGAGCTTCACCTGCCCAATTTTCGATGTATGTGATGGAGCTTTTGATTTCTTTGCAGTTAAGATCTAGTCGAAATTTCTGCATCGACATCATTTTGTTGTGTATTATTCTTGGAATTGCCGCCTATTTGTACAAGTAAGTTTTCAAATGACCTTCTTTCTCATTCTAAAGCTCTTGGCATACATTAAGAAACCCCTTCTCTTATGATATATCTATTCCCTTCAAATAAAACTTAGTCGTTGACAAGGAGGCTTTGCTCGACTCATAATTAAAATCTGAAAAACGAAAACTACAGCGAAACAATGTAAAATTTGGGTAAGTATGAAGTTGAGGAAATGTTGTACGAAATAAAGCTTTTGTAGTTCCTCTCATTCTTCAAGCCGGTTCACTATATTCTGGAATTTATTTGCATAAATGAACATAGGAGGAAGATAAATTTAAAAAAAAAAAAGTGTGCATTCGTTCTGATAAAGTAGTTTCATTAATTGCAGTGTGCTCAGGAGATAAAAGTGAGGAAAGCGTTGCTTTATGGATCGAACTCCATGATCTCTCTTGCACTATCCAGATGTCTATGTACGTGTTTGGTTGTATAATTTGTTGGCATATTTTGCTTCGCGCGCGTGTGTGTGTGTCCTGTGAGAAAATACGCTTATTATTCTTTCATCGACCAATGGTATATTTGAGTTGAGGAACATTTGTAACATGATATTATTTGTCCCATAAATTTGTATCATGAAAACAGATGTTCTATTCAAGAGAATAAGTTGCCTCCTACAAAATACATCACAAATTCTGTCGTTAGACTGCCTAATGGTTAACGAATGTCATAGTTTCTTAACAAAGATACTTATATTATGAAAATGTCACTTTTGTTTCCTGACTTGACATGTTTTTTCCTTATTTCGGGACCAAATTAGTTATTGGGTGGTAAATTTTTAAGCGCGATAAAGCGCGATATTTTAGTGTTAGAGTATGTAAATAATTTGTCGATAAAGCATGATTGTCGAACCATTAGACAGTCTGCATTGTACTGTACTCTAATGAATTAGGTGCTGTTTATTATTTGGCAGCATCCTTGTATTGCCGTGCTTTATTTGTACATGCAGCGTGGTAGCTGGGAACATGAAACTAATCAAGACACGTGTCTCTATCACGCCAGTCCAGTATATTTGATCCTAGGGCCCTCATCGATTGAGCAAATCTTGCCATATTTTGGAACTACATCAAACTACAAGGGCAAAACAGTAATTGCACATCTCGTTGTGACTAGGATAATTATTCGGGGGATATTTTTTTTTTTCTTTTTTCTTGTTAGGATTATTAAATTGCGTAACCCATAAGATAACCAAATTTTATATAGTAAGGTGAATATTTTGAGGACTTTTGTGGCATATTAAAGTGAAATAGATCTGAATATAATACTATTTTTAGTTGCATAATTAGTGCTTGTATCAATTGCATTAGGTGTTAATTTTTTATTAGCATATGAGTAAATGATAAACATGTAATGTTATATCTATGTATATGAGATGATTTATTTTTATGTGTGTGTGTATAACATAGATTAATATAACATGGAGATGCTATGTTTCTGTTACGAAACCATTCCGTCGGGGTTTGTAACCGTTAGATCAATTATTCTCGACGGTTACATGATAATTTAACGGTTACAAAACCGACAGAATGGTTCCGTAACGGGACCGTAGCATTTCTGTATTATATGAGATGAAAGTTTAAAAAAAAAAAAAAAAAAAGAATTGTTAGTATGTGAGCAAGAATATTGTGATTGGGAGTGCATGTGTTTGGGGGTTCGAGCAAACAAGCATTGGATCATCTCGAAATTTCCCAAAAATAGGAAAATATAGACAACCCCATGTGTAAGTGTAACGAGTCCCAACCAAATGGAATTCTTGCAACTTTCAACTAAGTATAATTCATTCATTTATTCTCCCTCATACTTCACAAAAATGTATTTTTCAATGTTATCCACTTCTATAATTCTCAAAACCTAAAAAGTACTCGTAATAATGGATTTATTTTATGAAAACCATATATAAAAGATTGCACAAGTTGAATTTGTTCGATTAAACGTATTAAATTCAAGGTGCAGAGTTCGAGTCTGAAGAGGCCAAAAACCACAAGAGACTCCAAAAATGGGTTTTCACCCTAAGGCAAGAGTCATGTGGAAGTTCATGAGTCCCCGGTGCATGGTCATGCTCCACCGGGGGTTCGATCCCCCAAGTGGAGAATGCTGACGATTACGATTGTAAACATTAGGTTTGAGAATTCCATAATTTTGGTTTTATTATTTTCATCGTGTACATTACCCGTATTACACAGATTCTCACCTAGTCTAAAGAACATATATGATCACTTGTGTCTTGAAAAGTATGATTTACCTTAAAATGTGACTATAACGAGAAATATTGAATAATTATTTTAGAATAATAATGTTATTATTAGTATCTCACTATCTCTCCTCTTTTTTAATACTCTCTCCGTTTCAAATTATAAGTCGCTTTGACTTTTTCAGTACATCCACTTTGCTATGTATCTCGATAATAATATGTCTAGATACATAACAAAATGGATGAATCAAAAAAGTCAAAACGACTTATAATTTAAAACGGAGGGAGTAATAAAATCCAAAATTATGGGCATCCAAGTATAAAGAGAGACATTAGGCTAAGTGCAACACTTCAAGAGCATTTTAAGGGTTGCCATTAATGGCATTTTTAAATCAAATAATTCTCATATTAATCATTTGAAATTAGAATATAAAGGTTTAAATTAACATAGACTTATCGTGGTCGGGCAATTTAATCTATATATCATCTCATAACATAAAATTAATATATATAATAATTTTGAGGGATTTATAAGTTTATATATTATAGGCCAATTTCTAGGCCCCATGTTACCCTACGTATGCATGTGCATGATTCACTATGAAACTAGTTAAATCATTTTCTTAATATTTACAAATATAGTAGGCCCATATGAAGCTTAATTAACGAGTCACTCGTGACTTGACACGTTAAGACTCGATACTAGAGATTTTTTTATTAATTATTTGAGGAGTTCAATTCTTTAAAGCTCATGTTCGACTTATTAATATTGATAAGTAAACTGAAATTGAGCTCGTTCAGTTGAAAAACATATTTAAGCTTAAAGTATAAAAAATTTAAATTTCGACTCGACTCGACTTGTTTACTAACAATTAATAAATTAAATAATTGACTAGTTCAAATTGAAAAAAAAA